ACAACAAAACAGGAAGGTGCTAGGAGGTCTGCTGTACGAAAAATATTCAGGGAAGTTCTTCAGGCTGAAAGCAAGTGACATCAAATGGTAAATCATATTAACAGAAAGAAATGAAGAGCCCTGCGAATGATCCATATGTGTTGTTGTTATTAGGTGCTGTTGAGTCAATTCCGACTCATGGCGACTATATGTACAACAGAACGAAACGCTGCCTAGTCCTGCGCCATCCTTATGATCATTGTTATGCTTGAACCCATTGCTGCAGCCACTGTGTCAATCCATCTCATTGAGGGTCTTCCTCTTTTTCACTGACTTTCTACTTTAGATGTCCTTTATCAAGCATGATATCCTTCTCCAGGGACTGATCCCTCCTGATAACACATCCAAAGTGAGTGAGACGTAGTCTCGCCGTCCTTGCTTCTAAGGAGCGTTTTGGTTGTACTTCTTCTAAGACAGATTTGTTTGTTTTTTTGGCAGACCATAGTATATTCAATATTCTTTGCCAACACCACAATTCAAAGGCGTCAATAATTCTTCAGTCTTCCTTATTCATTGTCCAGCTTTCACATGCATATGAAGTGATTGAAAACACCATGGCTTGGGTCAGGTGCACCTTAGTCTTCAAGGTGACATCTTTGCTTTCTAACACCTTTTTAAAGAGGTCTTTTGCAGCACATTTGCCTAATGCAATGCATCTTTTGATTTCTTGACCGCTTTTCCATGGGTGTTGATTGTGGATCCAAGTAAAATGAAATCCTTGACAACTTCAGTATTTTCTGTATTTATCATGATGTTGCTCGTTGGTCCAGTTGTGAGGATTTTTCTTTTCTTTATGCTGAGGTGTAAGCCATACTGAAGGCTGTGGTCTTTGATCTTCATCAGTGAGTGCTTCAAGTCGTCTTCACTTTCAGTGTGGGGAGAGCAATTAGGGTCACATAACAATGTGTGTATGGATTTTTGTATGGGAGACTAACTTGAAATGTAAACTTCATTTAAACAACAATAATAAAAAAAAAAATTCAAGGAAAAAAAAAGAATCGAGAAGCTCAGACCCCAGAAACCTATGCTGGAAGGCAGACAAGAACTGCTGGAACCTGCTTTTGTGTTAGAGTCACAGGGGCATTTTCCCAGAGTGGTGGTCTTCATAATTGTCATTTGTAATGGCAATGTAACAAGCCTTTGAATGGCTGCCCCATCGTGGTTTTAAACATTTTTTATTACTAATAACAAACTGAACACCCTTGTGTCTTCAACTTTTTATTTCCTCATAGTTGTTTTATCCTCCTCCCTACAACCATCCAGGCTGATACAGTGGCTACATCAATGGGCTCAAACATAACAACGACTGTGAATGTTTCATTCTGTTGTACGTAGGGTCACTATGAGTTGGAACCGACTTGATGGCACCTAACAACAACACACATCACATAACCTTAGGTTATATTACTGGAAGTGGGATTAGCAAATCTGCAGTATGGCTTCTCCGAAAAGGATTGTACTAAATTAAAATTGAACCAAAAATATTTGTTCAATAAAAGAAAACCTCAGTATTGTACATGTTAGAACATATATTTTTTTAAAAAAACAATAGCCTTATACTCTTAATCTAGTCCCACTAAGTGGAGATGTTGCCATTGTCATTGATGTTACAATAAAATTTGAAAATTCGTTCAAGTTAAAGAAGAAACTAATTTTAGAGAATGAATTTGAAATCAGTTAATTCTTAAAAGATTTCCAGTAGCTGCTAGGGACTCTTAATATAAATAAGTAAAACTAGAAGAAAAGTTGAGGGTATGGGTATAAATATTTTTATAAAAGTGTTCATTTTGTCCATTAAAATTCTGTGTCTCTATTATAGCAATAACAAATATCCCAGAATAAAAAAAATATAACTTGAAAAGTAAATAATGATTTTAATTTATATGAAATTATAATATTTTTAACTATTAATGATCTATGAATAGTATATTCATTATCAGTTAAAATACTCATGCACTTTATATTCCTTTGTTGATAGGTTGGAATTCTTTAATGATTAAAACACTCGTGCAGTTCTAAACGTAATACTAATGGACAGGCTATTTTACCTCAAGTGAAGATAGACCATAAAACTCTGTAAGAAATGGTATATGTGCTCGTTTGGGGGGCAGCAAAAACTGGAGATTGTAGAGTTGTGGTTTCATTCTTGTTGAGTTGTAACGTCTGGGGATAGTACTATAGTTTGCGCGTGAGTCAGCCGAACATGGCAGGCAAGCAGGAGTTGGAATCTAGTACTGAACTGTCTCGTTTGTAAAGCCAACTCAACTACACTTCTGCTTCCCTTCCTTCAGTAGTCTAGAAATAATTACTTTTGGGGCTCTATGAGGAGGCCGCCGTGGTCTCAGACAAAGATGAATTGAATCTTGTAGTGATCGTAGTTGATACCAATTCAGTTTGGTGGGGAAAGCAAGCATTAAAAGAATTCAGTTTACTTTATCAAAATGCATAGATGCTATGATGGTGTTGAGAAATTCCCATTCATTCATGAATCATTCCAACACACTTGCTGTGATAGTAAGTCACGTTCAAGAAAGTCGATTCTTACATCCTGGAAAGAATAGCAGACTGGGAGATTTCTTCAGAGAAGCCGCAACCCTCCTGAATTTAATCCCTTACGAAGTAAGGATGGAAAATATGAGCTGTTAACAGCAGCAGATGAAGTTACTGCTGAAGAGATTAAAGCCCTAATGACATAAAGGGTCAACACACGGAGACTCTGCTGGCGGGGTCCCTCCCCAAAGCCCTCAGCTACATTCATAGAGTGAGCAAGGAAGTTAAAGATAATCAGGAAATGAAGTCAAGGATGTTGGTGATTAAGGCTGCAGAAGACAGCGCATCACAGTATATTAACTTCATGAATGTAATGTTCGAGGCTCAGAAACAGAATATTTTGATTGATGGTTGTGTTTTAGACTCCGATTCAGGACACCTCCAACACGCTTGTGACATCACAGGGGGACTGTACTTGAAGATGCCTCAGATGCCCTCCCTTCTGCAGTATTTGCTGTGGGTTTTCCTTCCTGATCAGGGCCAGAGATCTCAGCTAATCCTCCCGCTCCAGATTCATGTTGACTACCGGGCTGCCTGCTTCTGGCAGCAGAAACTCACTGAAACCGGCTGTGTCTGTTCTGTGAGCTTGCCAGGATTCTGCAGTTTCAGCCCTGTCTGCACTACATGCGAGACAACCTTTAAGATTTCTTTGCCTCCTGTGCTGAAGGCCAAGAAAAGAAACTCAAAGTATCTGTTTGAGAATAAAATATTTTCCCCACCTTTCAGAGCTAGTAGTAGCAATTGATGGCGGAATCTCTGCTGGAAAGGGTCTCGAAAACTACAGATACGGAGAAGGTTATTTTCAATGCGGTTATTCATTTCTTACAGGAAATATTTCCGAAACAGCATTCTTATCTTGCACTTCTAGGGGCTGATTTGTTCAGGGGAGTCATTCGATGGAATATATTTTTTGTCTTCTGGCTGGATTTTGTCCAGGAAGGAGGAGAAAGCACAAATTTGTGACTTTTTTTTTTAATGGGATGATCATTTGTCAGAGTCTGACTATTAGGACTGATTATACGTGTAAAGCAGACTAGTCAAATCTAGGTCCTTACTGTGAAATGTACAATATGTGAAATTTCAACAGTTTGGGAAAAAATATACACGTGGTTGCTTATAGACTAATGGCATTAATCAAGACGGTACTTCTTCCTTAACCAACAGTGAACTTCAGCAATTGTCATATGCGTAAAATGAGACTTATTCATCTCAATTTTCAGATATTAGCAGATACTTTTTCTTTTGCCTGACAGCAGTACATTGCTCAGACAGAGTTATCCAAAGAATAATATTGGTTTATCACTGAATAACTGTTGAATCTGGTTTTAAATGAGCAAGAAGAGTGAGTGCAGTAGTCTCCTAGAAAACTTTCCTTCAAAAACAGTTGTGTTAAGAGCTTGTGAAAGCTCATACCTGAGTTCTGAGAGGAAATTTCTTGGGGAGAATGGACTCTTAACAATTAACTGTGGTCCCAGATAGAATTCTTTTCTTTTTTAATGGGGGAAAAAAAGCATTAATATTGGAGAACTGTTACCTACAAGCTTTGGACTGAGTAGTGAAAACTTCTACCAGTTTCAAAGAAAAATTATTTTTAATTTCAGTAATACAAAAATTATTTTTCTGTGTAACCATGGAATTGTTAAACATCTTTTTGAGTTCCAGCGTAGTGTAGGAAGGTTTAAGGAATAGCAGCTGATTGGGTTTGTTTATAAAGTATATTGTAAAACACATTTATGTATGAAACCTTGTATGTAAGTAAGATTAAATTTTCTCTTTATATAATCTCAGAAGCTGAGTATTATTTAATTAATTGGGTGTTTGGTTAGATAATTTCCAGGAGATTTTATATTCTGAATTTGTGGTTTTGTTAACAAATGCACAAAGATTTTTTTTTTCATTGTGCTTTGGATGACGGTTTGCAGAGCAAATTAGTTTCTCATTAAACAGTTAATATACATTTAAAAAAAGAAATAATTACTTCTGAAGCCAAAGCAACCCCAAAGTCACTTCTTAAAAAAAAAAAAAAGGAATTTTTAGGTAGTATTTTTTTAATCTGTTTAATTTCTTTGATAATGTTTTTGCTGTACTGTAATAAAATAGCAGTCACCACTGAAAGAGTTATTTTTTTCCATAGAACGATTTACAGTCTCTGGTAACAAAGTGTAGATCCCTCACCCTAAAATCAAAGCCAAGTATGTGCGGTTATGGGTTTGATATTTCAAGTTGCAGTTAATTTGAAATATAAGCTGCTGAATCAAAAAGATAATATTGTTAAAAATAGCAAGTATTCAAAAAATAATATGGAAACAGTACTTTTACATTTTTTTGTTTGTTGGTTTAATCAGCTATCTTCAAGAGTAATTGTAATCAAGTCTGACATATAAAATGAGTGCCTTTTGTTGATATTTCAGAGGTAGGAGTTCAGTGGCGAAACCTCAAAAAGTCATTCAGCCTTATAGATGACTTTGCTTTTGGCCATGTGATGGTGATGCTGTTGGTTGATGCCTTTTTATATACTATAGTAATCTGGTATATGGAGGCTGTTTTTCCGGGAGATTATGGTGTGCCTCACCCTTGGTACTTTTTTGGCAAGGTATGTTTTAAGCCTTATAGGAACAGAATTTCTTTCTGGGCTTGAAGTTACAGTGAACTTGAAGTTCATTTGCTTGAAGTTCAGTTGTAAACTGAATCAGATGACCAGTTAGCAACACTCAGGCCCACCATTGCCAACTTAATGATAAGATTGGTATTTCCGCTCTTTGTAAGATATAAAATAAAAGCTGTGGAAATACAATAAAAATATTGTTTCTGAGAATGTAAATTATCCTGGGAATTTTAAAGTATATAATTTTCAAAAGGACAGAGACCCTTTTTTCTGTCAGAGTGTCCTAAGAAATTGGATCTGAAATCTGGAGATAGTAAATTTCTCTGAGACTGCAAATGGCTGTTTTGCTAAGTTTTGGGAAGGGTGAGTTCAGTATAGAGCTAAAATTTTGCCCTTCTGAACTCAAATCTGAGATTTTTTTTTTTATTATAGAAAGTGAATGCAGTCGTGCACTCCATAACATCCATTCAGGCAACGTCCGACTGCATATACATCCATGATTCCATAAGTTCAGAAATCCTGATCAGAGAACGAGAAGTAGCGCGTGTAAACCAGACATAGCGAATGCAACAGCTTCCCGCACACAACACACGTATCTCATGTCTCTTGTATACAAAGTGATTGTACTGCCAGGCATATAATAGGCTTTACTGGGGTTGGTTCCTAACTACAGGTTGTATGTAAGTCAGACGTTTATAACCTGGGGACTGCCTGTATATAATACGGTGTTCGCACAAGATCCAAATCGAGTAACGTCCTGTTTCATAGAACATACCGTGGACATTAACTGACACATGACTGTATCTAGATAGATCTAGATCTGGAATGTCTTGATTATCATTTTCCACAAAATAGAATCACAATTTTTTTTTTATTTTGTTGTTGTTGAGAATATACACAGCAGAACATGCAGCAGTTCAACATTGATTACATTCTTGAAACTGTGCAACCATTCTCACCCATGTCTGCCTTGAGCATTGTGCTCCTTTAAGAACTATCTATATGGGATCACACTGACTGATCAGCAGCTCGAAAGTGTAGCTAGGGAACTTAGGGGGCAATGAGTTTATGTTAATGGGGGAGGAACAATTTGGAAAGTCATATTGTTTTTATTTTCTCAAAATAATTTGATTCTATTTGTTAAGATATAATATAGTAATCTAAATTTTTATTTTCTTTAGTCTTCCTACTGGGATGAGCATACACAATCCATTTTGACTAGGAGAAAGAAACACTTAGGTGTTAAGAAGCATGATGATGAATTCTTTGAACCTGAACCTGAAAACTTAGTGGCTAGTGTCCAAATCAAAAATCTTTCCAAGGTATTATTTCCTGGGTCATTTTTCCCACTGAAACTTAAAGTACATTATTTAATTTTTTTCTGAATATAAATATATTTTCATTGTTGAAAATGGAGAAAATGTAAAAAAATGATTACATTATAGTATATGTTTTGTATTCTGCTTTTGTTATAACATTGTGTCATAGAATTTTTCAGTATACATTTTGGAGAGTATAATTTTAATGACTGCTGTAATTTTGATAAGATATAATTTATCTCGTCGTAGTTAAAACATGCTAGGCTATATACAAATTTTTGTTGTTGAAGATGTTGCAGTTAATATCGTATGCATAGTTCTTTGCCCACAATTCAGATTCTTTATGATGGATTCCCAGAAGGGAAATCATTATATCAAAGACTATGAAAATTTTGTAATATATATTACCAAATGGTTTTCCAAAAGAGTTGTACCAGTTTACATTTCTACTAACAATGCCTGTTGCATCACACCCTGAGCATCATTGATTATTATGATTTTTAAATCTCGGCTCATTCGATGGATAAAAAAATATGTTTTTTGCCTTGAATTGCATTTTTTAGTACAGCTTGTAATAGCAAACATTTATTATATGCTTACTTTGTGTGTAACATACAGTATCTTATTTAATATTCACCTTTTTCCATATCTTTTACTGTGGGAAAATGTACATAACATTAAAATTTACCATTTTAATCATTTTTAAGTGTATAAACCAGTGGCATTAAGTACATTCACAGAGTTGTGTGACCATAAACCAAAACCAAACCAAACCCAATGCCATCGAGTCGATTCCGAGTCGTAACGACCCTGTAGGACAGAGCAGAACTGCCCCATAGGGTTTCCAAGGAACAGCTGGTGAATTCATACTGTTGACCTTTCGGTTAGCAGCCAAGCTCTTAACTACTGTGCCACCAAGTTTCCTGTATGACCATAAGCACTATTTCTAGAACATTTTCATCATCCCAAATGCTATACTCATTAGAAAATTGTTTCCCATTCTCATCTGCCCTCAGCCCCGATAACCATTATTCTTTCTATCTCTATGAATTTGCCTATTCTAGATATTTTATATATTGTCCTTTCGTGTCTTGCTTATTTCATTTAGCATAATGTCTTTAAGGTTCATCCATGGTCATACCATGTATCAGAATTTTATTCCTTTTTATGGCTAAATAATATTCCATTGTATAAATATAACACATTTTGTTTATCACTTCATCTGTTGATGGACAGGAGGATTGTTTCTACCTGTTGACAACTGTGAATAATGCTGTAATGAACACTGATGGACAAGTTTATCTGTTTGAGTTCCTCCTTTCAAGTCTATGGGTATATACCAAGGAGTGGAATTGCTGGATGATAGGGCAGTTCTATGTTCAACTTTTTGAGGAGCCACCAAACTGTTTTCCACAGTGGCTAAACTGTTTTATATTCCTACCAGCAATGGATGAAAGTCCCAATTTCTCCACATCCTCGCCAGAATTTTTTATTTTCTATGGGTTTTTTGTTTGTTTGTTTTTTGTAATAGCAATCCTAGTGGTTGTGAAATGTGGTTTTAATTTTATGGATGAAAGTTCCAATTTCTCCACATCCTTGCCAGAATTTTTTATTTTCTGTGGGTTTTTTGTTTGTTTTTTGTAATAGCAATCCTAGTGTTTGTAAACTGTGGTTTTAGTTTGCATTTCCCTAATGACTAATGAAAGGAGCCCCTGTAGCTCAACAGTTAAGCGCTTGGCTGCTAACTGAAAGGTTGCAGGAGAGAGACCTCGTGGTCTGCTCTTATAAAGATTACAGCCTGGAAAATCTTACGGGACAGTTCCACTGTGTCACACGGAGTCTCTCTGAGTCAAAATCAACTCAGCACCTAACAACAACCATGACTAATGATGCTGAGCATCTTTTCATGTGCTTATTGACCATTTGTATATCTTCTTTGGAGAAGTATCTTATTCAAGTCCTTTGGCCATTTTGTATTGGTTTGTTTGTGTTTTGTTGTTGAGTTGTAAGAGTTCTTCATATATTCTTGGTATTAACCTCTTATCAAATGTATGATTTGAAAACTTTTTCTCTTATTGGGTGGGAGAACTGTTCACTCTTTTGATAGTGTCCTTCGATGAACAAAAATTTTGGATTTTGAAGTCTAATCTATTTATTTTTTTCTTTTATTACCTGTGCTTTTGAGACCCTTAAGAAATCATTGTTTAATCCAAGGTCATGAAGATGTTCACCTATGTTTTCTTCTAAGAGTTTTATAGTTTTAGCTCTTAAATTTAGGTCTTTGATTCATTTTAAGTTAATTTTTGTATATGATGTAAGGTAAGGATCCAGCTTCATTCTTTTGCATGTGAATATCCAATTTTCCCAGGAACATTTGTTAAAAATACTATCCTTTTCTCATTGAATGATCTTGGCACCCTTGTCAAAATTCAGTTGACCATAGATATAGGAGTTTATTTCTGGGCTGTCTATTCTATCCCATTGATCTATATGTCTTTTCTGGGCTGTCTATTCTATCCCATTGATCTATATGTCT